TAAGGGGGTCCTGTCCCGAACCTTGAAGGCCTTTTGCCCTTAAAGTCCCCATGTCCAATCCCCCAGCTTTCTTCAACGCGAGTCAACAGGAGTTGATTGGCAGCCCTTTTCAACAGGGGGCGGTTCGCCGTTCCATCCCCCACCACCCAAGGAAGCTTGGATAAAACTCTTTGGTCACGAGGTCTTTTTGCCTGTCTTTCTGTCTCTCTGTCGGTCTGCCTGTCTGCCTGCCTGTCTTCCTGTCTTTGTCTTTCTGTCCGTCTGTCGGTCTGCCTGTCTGTCTGCCTGTCTTCCTGTCTGTCTGTCTGCCTGTCTTTCTGTCCGTCTGTCGGTCTGCCTGTCTGTCTGCCTGTCTTCCTGTCTATCTGTCGGGTCTATCTGTCGGGTCTGCCTGTCTGTTTGCCTGTCTTTCTGTTTGTCGGTCTGCCTGTCTGTCTGCGTGTCTTTCTGTCTGCCTGTCTGTCTGCCTGTCTTTCGGTCTGTCTGCCTGTCTTTCTGTCTGTCCGTTTCGGGGGCTTGTTGGCCGTTGTTTCTTTCGCTCGCGCCTTGGGGGCTGCCAGGCAGGGCAATTCTTTCTGCCAAGCTCTTGGACGGCCAGAGCATCCTTCTCGCCTCCGCTGACCGCATTGTGGCTCGGATGGACTTTTATATTGGGATCGGATGGGCCTGAGGCCACTTCCAAGTTTTGGAGACCGCGCGCTTTAAGGGCTGCACCAGTTTCCTCTCGAAGGGACCGAGGGACTTTCTGGCAGATTCCATGTCAACGTGAGATGCTCTTGGTGGTCAGGAGTTTAGATGACCAGGATCACTCTATTTGGTTACCATCCTATCACCTTGTTAGGGTCCCACAATATGTTGTTTTCTTCCGCCTCGGAAGTTTCATCATACCCCACCAGTAAATTGATCAACCGTTGACTTGTGGAAATCCATTGACCCCTGTCATTCCATTCTTTTCTAGAAAGCACCCATTGTGGACCTTGCGCCTTGGCCTCAATCGCCTTTGTTCCGGGGGTTTGAGGTGCACCGCAGTGCCCTGGAAAAGTGCTACCTTCCCAAGCAACCCCGGTAAAAAAGGTGTGCGGTTCTGGGTTTTTGGTGATTTAAGGCTAGGAGCAGTGCGCGGACCTTTAACGCTATTATAAACTTCAAGACCACTGATGTGCGGTGCTGATCGTTCAACATATTGCTCCATCAGCCTCTCTCTGTTATTTGTAAAATCTAAAACCGCTCGCAGCGCATTCTCAGAGGTTATCATTCTGCATGTGTGGATTCTGCGAACATTTGGTGGTTTTGCGCGGTGCGGCCACAGCCGGTTATTTGCGAGAGGATCCAAAAAGACCTTGGGGACGTCTAGTCGATCTCCATTTGCAGTCGGCTGGCCAGGAGCTTTGGCAGCAAAATCAGCGAAGCACCGAGATCAGCTGCTGCAACCTGCGGGCCTTATCCGTGCTCTGAGAGCGGAATCGGCCCCATGCTCCTAAATGGGTCTGTCCCATGCGGTGTTCCCGCTTAAACAAATCAAACAAGGAATGCACATTTCATACCAAATCCCATATTTGAGGGCTTCAGTTTGCTGCTCTGGCAACCATGCTTTGTCGACTCCAAGGGAGACAAGTCGGCACACTGCCACTTCAGCAGTCCGTACAATGAATCAGGACATGTCAGTTGACATCTGGAATATTGCATTGAGGCAAGGGGACTTGACCCATCTAGTCACTGTCATTTGGCTGCGTCTCATCAATATTCCTGAGGCTAACGGGCGCGGGGCCTTGAGAAACGCAGCGCGGAAAACGCGGAGGTTGACGGTGCCAGATTGTTTGCTCTCAGATTTGGGACAAATCCATGGGCCTCACAAGGGATTTGGTTGCCACATCCGTGACGCTATCTTTTCTTGACGATGCCCTATTATTTTCAGAACAGGACGCCCTGAGCGTGTCTTTTTGTGTGTGATTATATTGTTTTTTTTTGTTTTTTCGGGAAAGCACATGGTTTTTCATTTCTTTGGAAAAGTGTGAAACACCTCGAGAAAAAGACAAGAAAAAGAACCAAGACTATGTCAGCTGTCCTGACTTGGGGGGGCGGTAATTAGTTTTTTGTTTTTTGTTTCTCGAGGTTGTTTGCATTTCTTTGGAAACGTGTGAAGAACCTCAAACAAACCCACACTATAACTTTCAAACAAACAAACCCAAAACTATGTCAGCTGTCCTGACTTGGGGAGGGTTTTTTTTGGGTTTCTCGAGGTTTGTGCATTTCTTTGGAAAAGTGTGAAACACCTCGAGAAAACCAACAAAAAAACAAACAACAACGACTCTATCAGCTGTCCTGACTTGGGGGGAGGGCATAATATGTTTTGTTTTGGTTAGTTGTTTTTTGTACTGTACCGGTTCCGGCCTGTTTGCAAGAGCTTCTGTGATCAAGTGCGCTGGTACAGTTCGCTCCAAGCCCTAGTGCAGTAAGGTAGAGATGGTTTCCTCTGGTTGGACTCGTTCCTTATTTCATTCTTCTCCATTTCAGCTAGAATTATACAAGTAGAACTTCATGAATATATTAAGTAGAGTTCATAAGAAAGAAATTTCATGTCCCAAACTTGTTAAACACATGGTGTTTATATATTTATTAATTTGCAATGACACTCCTATTGGACAGGAGACCCTGTGTAGCATCAATACTCATTGTAAATTAGAGTTTAAACGAAAGATTATGTTTGGATTATGTCCTGATTAGATTATATTTCATGTGAGACAGACATGAAGTAGAACTTGATAAATATATCAAGTAGAATTCATAAGGAAAGAAACTCGAGGTCCCGAACATGCTTAATGCATGTTGTTCAGATGCTTACCGATTTGTAAGGGCAGTTCTATTGGAAAGGCACTCCCGTGTAGCATGTATTTTGAAATAGAATAATCATAATTAAACAATCTAAATTGAGTAGAATTTGATAACGATATTAAGTAGATGTCAGAAGGAAATAATTCAGAGGTCCCGAAATCGTGTTTGTTTTTGTTTACTAGCCCAGCACTACCATGGTCAGAAAACACTGTAAAACTTCGTGTTGTGTAGCGTTTTTCGTACTCAATTCCCTTTTCCACCAACGGCTGCTCTCTAAAATTCAGTTTGAATTTGAATAGGATTCAAATGGAATTCAATAAGGAAATACTCGATCAGACTCCTACTGGAAATTACATCTTACATTTAGAGTTTAGATGGGAAAGTCTTTCCCAATAGAACATTGCAATTAAGTTGGAGTTGAAGCACAATGTGATAAGGAATCAATCCAACCACTACTTCTATTTTTCAAGTTAGAATTTACAAAAGAGTATTTCGCTTCTAAAAGATAGTTACACAGTATGTTCTTTTCAATCAAACTTCTTTACAATTCAGCTAACATATAGACACACATTTTGCAACGATACTTTCACTCGAGGTTCCACTCAAAAAGTGCGAAAAAAAAAAAAAAAAAACGCATGCTAGCGTCCTGCTCTCATTATTTTTGGGTTGGTGTGGTATTGTGGTTCTGCAGAACCGGATAGCCATTGAATGCGGGGTAGAGATGGGGCATTTGACCTCCGATATAATTTGCTAGGATCAGCTCGCGCTGATTGCGGGCTGCTTGGCGTCATGAAAGGTATTGGGGCTTTGTTTTACGTTTCCAAGCGTTTCCCAAAGACCAAGAAGGAAACGCTTGCAATGCATCGCGCCAGTCTGAGTAAGATCAGATCGGCGGCCTGGAGAGTGAGGCAAGCTCTCAGCAATTTGCAGAGAAACACATCATGTTAATGAGCCTGCCTCATTCTTCCATTGGCGTGTGTGCACGGTGTTTCAGCCCTCGTGACGTTGCGACAAGATGGTTGAACATGGTTTCATCCCGGCATACGATTCCACGGAGTATCATATTGAGGCAGCGCAAGAAGAAGCCACCCGGGTTTTGCCCTGCTCGCAGCGAGAGACAGCTGACGAGCCGTTTTGTGGCGTTGAATGAGTCGCCAGGTTTGTTTCACCAAGATTGCTTTGATTTCTACTGAATCACCGGGCTAGGTCTTTTTTCTTGCCCGGCCCACTGCGTTCCCCTGTGTAACGGGCGGCAGGAGCATCGAGGCTTTAGCCGGAGAAAATTGTGGTGCAGCCTCTGTGGGTTGTCAGACATTGGCTGATTCTTATATGCGCTTCTGCACGACATGATTTGCTAATGCTTGTGGTGCACACAGCTTGAACCCTTGGGGTCACCGAGTTTTGGGGAACTTTGGCCGCGTGAAGCGCTCTCGCTGGTATGCTTGTCTCCGCCATTTCAATCATGAATAGCCTGAGCCCTTTCGACTCCCTCTCTCTCTCTCTATGTTTTTTTGTGTGTATGCTGCACGTATACCTGTGTGCGCCGCCAGATTTGCCCTGGAACCAAAACAGGGTTCAAGTTCCCGCCTTCGAAGGGAGGACCCTTTCGTGCTTTCCATGGGCCCGGTTTCGGCTGGTCAAGCCGAACCAAAAAGGTACAGCTCCGATTTCTGGAAGGATTTCCCTTCGGCTGGAGCAAAATCGTTTTTTTTTTAAAGCCTGTGGCAGCCATTCCTCCCCACGGAAGCCATGGAAGTCTGGCCGGAAGCCTCCTCAGCGCCTCCTCAACGCTGTTGGTTGGTTCTTCCCTGTGAAGCCGAGTGTTTCATCCGCTTATTCAGATGCGTCAGCTTGAGCAGAATGCACGCGAACTGAAACATGAGCTGAGTATTGGAATGTCCACCCTGCTTTGGCATCGCAGTGTTTGCCCCACTACGGGTGACCCCCGAAATGTTTCGTGTGCAAATCACCAGTTGTTCACAGAAGCTGTCTAAATCTTCAGGTGCCTTTGTCCTCGTGCCAGAGTTTGCTAAAGTTAACCTCAGCTGCCTGGTTGCATGCACTTTTCAACTACCCAAGATCAATGTTAAACTTAGGGGTTCTCCTTGGGAAGGAACCACCGGGTTTAAGGTCCAAGGGTAGAGCCCTTGGTGCCTTTTCTGCCTCAGGAGCCGGGACCAATGGCTGGACTGGGCACTGGCTGTAGGGCGCCTCAGGCTGTCAGGTCTTCTCTAGTGGTGTCTGCATAGGAGACCCCCCCGAAACAAAACACGTGGTGGTCCTGCTGGTCTCCCTCTAACCCGAAAGAAAAAGAAGTTGAGTGTCATGGTTCGAGCGAGTGAGGGTCTCCTTTTCTCTGGAGGGGTTGCACAGGGATGTGCTTCTCGTTATTGAGGGGCGACCAAAGACACATTAGACATTCTGGCAGCTTTTCCATTTGGAGACAAGCACATGAGGAATCCCACAAATCGGGTGGTTCCCTTTCAAGGTTTGCCACCCCAACAAGGGTACACTTAAAACAACTCAAGGCTAAATGATTGATTTGGTTGGGAAACCGGTCATGCTCCAAGTGGGCAACACCAGGACACCAAGACCCTAAGAATGAGGCTACTCCGCGCGGACCCTTCTCAAGACACCCGAGTTCATTTTGATCCCACGCTAAGAGCCCAGCTCAAACGGGCACGCCAAAAGCCCAGGTCAAAAGGAGACGCTAAAAACCCAGGTCTCAGGTCAAACGGCGAGGTTGCTTTTTGAGGCTGGGGATTGGATTAGTTGTTGACCGCCCGCTGGTTCCGAGGCCAAAGTTTGGAGAAGTCCAATGGGCATTGGAACATCCGGCAAAAGGATACGGGTTTCCCAGCGGGTTGGCATTCCAATAAGGAAGAACAAACGGCGCCCTGTCGGCATGTAAAGAAGCAAGCTGCGGATTGCACCTGGTGAAGAGGTTATATGCAACTTGGCAAAAGCTGGCAAAAAGAAAGATAAACAGCAAGCGATGTGAGGTATTGCCTTCACGTTTGTTGGAGATAGGCCTGGCTTGAGCGGATGTCTCTGGGGCTGACCATTCCAGGTTGGTTTTAGCCTCTCGTTCCCATCCGCAGAAGTCACCCCTGAGAACGCCTGGCCCTCTAGCCTCCATCACGGGTTGGCTATGTGGCACCTGCCGCAAAAGCTGCTGTTTTGCTGCTGCGGCTGGCTAACTCTCGGACATGACGTTTTGACCAAGAAAGGGAGGTTGCGGATGACGTGCGGGTGGTGTGATCAGCCAACTGGGCATCACTCTTGTGGCTGGCGTCATCAGGGGCAGGGCGAGCGACAAGGTATTGTTTTTGCCGCGAGCAAGCCCACCAGGCAAGCTTTTGGAGTGTGGTTCAATGCTGACTGTGCGGAAGTGAGTTGAAATGACACGGACCACGGGCAAGAGGAAGCTTGTATGGACTTTGGTTCGATGCTGGCAACTTAGGCAGGCTGAGCGTGATCGTTTAGCTGTGAGCTTGGAGTGAAATGGTGCAATGTGGTGAGTCGCTTTCTGTTGCGAATAGGCTGGCTTGAGCGGGTGTCTCTGGGGCTGACCATTCCAGATTGGTTTTAGCCTCTCGTTCCCATCCGCAGAAGTCACCCCTGAGAACGCCTGGCCCTCTAGCCTCCATCACGGGTTGGCTATGTGGCACCTGCCGCAAAAGCTGCTTTTTTGCTGCTGCGGCTGGCTGACTCTCGGACATGACGTTTTGACCAAGAAAGGGAGGCAATTGTCATGCAAGCAAGAAGGTTGCGGATGACGTGCGGGTGTTGTGATCAGCCAACTGGGCATCACTCTTGTAGCTGGCGTCATCAGGGGCAAGCGTGAGCTTATAAGCTCCTTTGTTTAGCTGTGAGCTTGGAGTGAGATGGTGCAATGTGGCGAGTCGCTTTCTGTTGCAAATAGGCTGGCTTGAGCGGGTGTCTCTGGGGCTGACCATTCCAGATTGGTTTTAGCCTCTCGTTCCCATCCGCAGAAGTCACCCCTGAGAACGCCTGGCCTTCTAGCCTCCATTACGGGTTGGCTATGTGGCACCTGCCGCAAAAGCTGCTTTTTTGCTGCTGCGGCTGGCTGACTCTCGGACATGACGTTTTGACCAAGAAAAGGAGGCAATTGTCATGCAAGCAAGAAGGTTGCGGATGACGTGCGGGTGTTGTGATCAGCCAACTGGGCATCACTCTTGTAGCTGGCGTCATCAGGGGCAGGGCGAGCGACAAGGTATTGTTTTTGCCGCGAGCAAGCCCACTGGGCAAGCTTTTGGAGTGTGGTTCAATGCTGACTGTGCGGAAGTGAGTTGAAATGACACGGACCACGGGCAAGAGGAAGCTTGTATGGACTTTGGTTCGATGCTGGCAACTTAGGCAGGCTGAGCGTGATCGTTTAGCTGTGAGCTTGGAGTGAAATGGTGCAATGTGGTGAGTCTCTTTGTGTTGCAAATAGGCTGGCTTGAGCGGGTGTCTCTGGGGCTGACCATTCCAGATTGGTTTTAGCCTCTCGTTCCCATCCGCAGAAGTCACCCCTGAGAACGCCTGGCCCTCTAGCCTCCATCACGGGTCGGCTATGTGGCACCTGCCGCTGCTGTTTTTTGCTGCTGCGGCTGGCTGACTCTCGGACATGACGTTTTGACCAAGAAGGGGAGGTTGCGGATGACGTGCGGGTGGTGTGATCAGCCAACTGAGCATCACTCTTGTAGCTGGCGTCATCAGGGGCAGGGAGAGCGACAAGGTATTGTTTTTGCCACGAGCAAGCCCACCAGGCAAGCTTTTGGAGTGTGGTTCAATGCTCACTGTGCGGAAGTGAGTTGAAATGTCACGGGCCACGGGCAAGAGGAAGCTTGTATGGACTTTGGTTCGATGCTGGCAACTTAGGCAGGCTGAGCGTGAGCTTATAAGCTCCTTCGTTTAGCTGTGAGCTTGGAGTGAGATGGTGCAATGTTGCGAGTCGCTTTCTGTTGCAACTAGGCTGGCTTGAGCGGGTGTCTCTGGGGCTGACCATTCCAGATTGGTTTTAGCCTCTCGTTCCCATCCGCAGAAGTCACCCCTGAGAACGCCTGGCCCTCTAGCCTCCATCACGGGTCGGCTATGTGGCACCTGCCGCAGAAGCTGCTTTTTTGCTGCTGCGGCTGGCTGACTCTCGGACATGACGTTTTGACCAAGAAAGGGAGGTTGCGGATGACGTGCGGGTGGTGTGATCAGCCAACTGAGCATCACTCTTGTAGCTGGCGTCATCAGGGGCAGGGAGAGCGACAAGGTATGGTTTTTGCCACGAGCAAGCCCACTGGGCAAGCTTTTGGAGTGTGGTTCAATGCTCACTGTGCGGAAGTGAGTTGAAATGTCACGGGCCACGGGCAAGAGGAAGCTTGTATGGACTTTGGTTCGATGCTGGCAACTTAGGCAGGCTGAGCGTGAGCTTATAAGCTCCTTCGTTTAGCTGTGAGCTTGGAGTGAGATGGTGCAATGTTGCGAGTCGCTTTCTGTTGCAACTAGGCTGGCTTGAGCGGGTGTCTCTGGGGCTGACCATTCCAGATTGGTTTTAGCCTCTCGTTCCCATCCGCAGAAGTCACCCCTGAGAACGCCTGGCCCTCTAGCCTCCATCACGGGTCGGCTATGTGGCACCTGCCGCAGAAGCTGCTTTTTTGCTGCTGCGGCTGGCTGACTCTCGGACATGACGTTTTGACCAAGAAAGGGAGGCAATTGTCATGCAAGCAAGAAGGTTGCGAGGGAAGGGTTCCTCAGAGAAACATCCTCTGTCTGCGGCTTCAAATATTTTCGAAGAGGTTTGGGAGTTGAAATGGTTGGACACCGTGGGGGCTCCCTTTGGCTGGGCCCTTTCCGACCTCGCTCAAGCGCGCGGCTGGCTGAGGGGCCGATCTATCGCCGGATCTCCGGCAAGGAGCCGGGGTCCAGCCGCAAGATCGGCCCGGGGGCCTCGGCATCTGGTCGGTGCCCGTGTAGGGTGAACCCTATGATAGGCTTAGGGTCCTGGCAAGCTGATCCGGAAAATAGGGGCAGCCCCAAAACTGGCCGTCCAGAGCTAACTGACATAGCACCCCGAAAAAGGGATGGATTTGTTTGTGGGTTCCAAATTGCAGCGCAAGCAACTTTATAATCACTTCGTGACACCAACAAATGCCCTGCCTTTATGTTTTATTGATAAGTCACTAGAGATGTCTTCTAATTGGAATCATGTGAAGTGGTTGTGCGATTCCCACAACCCTGTTGCAAGTTGGTGTGTATTAATGTGAGGGTGAATAACATGATTTTCCTATCACCACCCCCCCTCCCCAAAAGAGGGTACCCTCAAAGAAGATAGACCCAGGACCGCTCGAGGCAACGAGGTGCAAGTCAAAAGTAGGTCTCTGCGAATGCTTGGTTTCACGTGTTCTTCTATCCTGAACTGACCACATGGTGTCCTTACTTTCGACTCATATCGAGCTGTTTTGCCATTTTGACATCACGGGTTGCCATTTGCTGTATCGTCTGCATGCCGCAGAGGCGGAACCTGACTGTCGTGATAATAACAAAAACAAGCGCTCAGGTGTTAAACCAGAGCGCATGGGCTTGGAATCCTCACGGGGAAACCGCTCCAGATGTTGGATGTCCATCCCAAAATCGACCAGAACGAATTTGGAGTTGCAGCAGTATAAGGGGCCCATTGCCTGTGCTGTCAGCCTACGGCTTATCTGCTCGGTTCGGGCCATGTGGCATGCACCAAGTGGCGACCTCGAGGTATGAGGATCCTTTGGACTTGTGGCAGTGTTCATCATCCGAGAAGTGATCTGTGCTAAAAACCAAGCGCTGGACTGGGTGATCCTGGAAAGGAAGCCAGCCAGGAACCAACCACTGGAGGGTCCCAACTCCTTTGAACCATGTCAATGCCAGAGTTTTGACCTCAGGTGCCGCGGAGGACGAAGAAGATGGGGACGACGAGGGTTCCAGTGACGAGGAAGACTAAGCCCACAAGCGGTTGCTTGCCCCTGCGCCTAGCTCTGCGGGAACCGGGTCACAGTTCCCAGGAGTCTTGGACCAAATTCAAAGTTCCATCATCCACTCAGCTGAAGCAGGGGCCAACACGTGCATGGTGGATCGTGATCCTTCCTGTTGACTCAGTGTCTTCGCGACCAACCTCAGCCAAAGGCTGGGTGTGTGTGTGTGTTGCGGCCGAGTTTCACTCCCAATTCCTGGGCTAGCTCGGAAAAGGTGCCCAAAACCATGTGGAGCTTCGGAATCTCTGACAATCCGATGAAAGTAGATTTCCGCAACCTGGTTTTGCCTGCCAGACTCACTGCAGCGCAGCTGATTGAAACAACAACTCCCAGCTCATTTCACAGGTCATCATGCTGTTAGTGAATTGTGTGTTTGCTTAATCCATTGGGTCTTCGGGAGGCTGAAAGAAGCCGGAACTACGACAATCTTCCAAGTCTTCCACCTTAAGGATCCCCGTATCTATCGAATGCCACAGACCCAAAACCCGCCCTCGTTTAATATATGATATATGTATGCATAGATTGTGTTTAGTCCCCCGCTTGATTGCCCCAGCCCAGAAACCCCAATTGCTGCCTTTGTTTCTTCTTTTGATGCGGAAGGGTGGTTGAGCAACGAATGGGCGTAAAAAGAGTTTATTCAACTCCAAGAACACACGAAACACGTATTGTTGTTCCGTACTTTGAGCTCCCACCCACTTTCAGCAGGAGCTCTAAGTCGGACAACCGAAGATCACTCGGGCTCTGCGCCAGGTCGGTGCCGCACGAACCGAACCGGGCGCCTCGCTCGCCTCGCTCGCCTCGCTCGCCCTGTTTGAACTGGCAGCATTGAACAGCCAACATGGCTGCCTGGTCATCTCGAAACGCGCGAATTGCGTGCCTTCCAATACCCCTCCGTTCCTGGGCGGAACTCTCTCGGAAACAGAAAGGATCTACAACTGTGTTGGGTACGCCCACTGTACTTCCTGCCAGTTTAGGGGTCCCTTAGGAACCACCCACCTCTTGCAAAGCCCGGGACTTCTGGCTGAAGGGTCCTAAGAGCAAGATGCCCAAAGCTCAGCCTCCTTTGTCCATGGCGGCTTACACGTCAATGAAGGTCTTTCGGGGATTCCTTCATGATTGATGAATTAGTTTTGGTCGCACACGACAGTTGCCGATCGGACCGAATCAAGATGAGAACAGTTGAGTACAGTAGTTCAGATTCTGCCGAACTTGCTGGCTCGGCGCACGAGACCTTCCTCTTGAATCAGTCCGTGGGCCAATGTCGCGTATCCCTGATGCACCCTCGTCGTTGTACCTCACTTCACTGGAACATCTCCTTGCTGGCTATGCGCCAGCTACCTTAGGCTAATATGGTATAGTACAGCGCCATTCAAAGCACCCCCAACCCAAAGAAGAAACACAAGGGGGTACATGACAGTGCTTGAGCAGTTGGCAGGTGTCAAGCTCTCTCCAACTTTGGCCCTTCGCAGGACCCAGCCAGCGAAGCTGACAAGGTGCTTCTCACCAGGCAAGGTCTCGGTGAAGAGATGGGCCAAAGCGTGCTTCTCCCAAAAGACATGAGCCATGGTTGGCATGCATTCTGTCCTGACTGGCACGGAATGTGGTGAGCCTCACTTCCTATTTTGGTGAGTGTGCCCCAAGTTGCGGGGTTTTGCCTGACTTTCCAAGTTGCGAGGACACAAGATTCTCCTCAAAATGGATGCCTTGCCATGCCCAACTTCATCTCCTTTTCGAATGCCAGCACTCATGTGAGCCATCATGTTTGCAACTTCGTCCACGTGCAGATCCCACATGTGGATAGTGCCTCTTTCTCGCGGTTCAGGCGCTGCTTTGCAATTTTTTTGGCAGTGGATGGGCTTTTCGGGTGGGGTACGGGGTTCAGCCGTTTTTGGTTTGTCTTTCCATAGCTCTAAGGGTAACTTCCCCATTGCTTCCAAGAGTACTTTTCTAGAAAGCCATCAAGAACCCGGGGGAAATGGCGATCGGTTTTTGAAAGAACGATGGCTGAAAAGAGTGGGAAATGGGTATGGCTCAATTTTTTCACAGGAGGGGCACACCGCAGGCTTTGGTCCACGTTTCCACTTACCAGGGCAACCCATTTTGCAATTCTGGTCTTTTTAAGCCAAAGCCAATCAACCCGAGCCGGGTCCCTAGGCCTTCCTTTCTCTCGAGAGGTACTTCTTCCCCTCCAAGGCTGGGGGGCGGCCCGCCTGGCCGCAGCCTCAGAGAGCGCGTGGGGACGGAAGAAAACGGGATGCAGCGGATCTCTGAGGGGAATGCTCACCCCGTATTCTTCAAGCCCGCTGTTTGGTTTTTTGCTTTTTTAGGGGGCTTCGTGTTTTTGTTTATGTTTTTGTAATAAGGGGGTTCGGTTCCCCTCCAAAAGTGGTCTGTGTGAGCCAGAAAGCAAGAAACACCGCCAGTAGTCAAACACCTAAGAACCCCGGCCAAAAATAATTTGCCCTCCGCACCTTCAAAGACCGGCACACTTGCCTCTTGGGGGTGGCCGCGGATCCTGGAAGTTTGGGCCTACGCACGTGGTGTCTTATTTCAGGGAGTTGTCTCCAGGAGCACATCTAAGTTTCTTCGTCCTTTCGGTTTTCGGCCAGCGGGTGGCTGTCTGAGGCTCGTTCCAGAGAACTTGCCAGAGGAGGAGCAGCTGAACTGCCTGAGGCCTGTGGGTTGGTCTCAACGGTTTGGGTATTCTCAGGGAGGCACGGAGGTTTGATGTAATCTTCGCCTTCAAATTCCATGCCTGAACTTGTCCTTGACAACCGGGACCCCTTTTCGGAATAAACCTACAGCAATGATCCTTCTTTGGACTTTTGTGCTAGGAGGTTTGGCTTTGGGGCCACAAGCAAGTAACAGGCTTTTCACCGAGCTGGAGTCTTGGTTTGTAGGTTTAAGTTGAAGGAGTTCAGGGTTTTAGTTGGGGCTAAAGTGGCTTCTGACTCAGCTGTGATAGGAAATCGCATTGCCGCATCAATCGCAGCAACACAGACGACGTGGTGGCATGCGCGTAACCTGACAATTACCCACTGCCGAATTTCAACACGTGACCTATTTTCGGGGTCCCCAACTTCGAGACATCAGCAAAGAAGTCACCCTGTTTGGTTCTTTCAGTCAACAGCGACAGGAAAAGCCCCCCAACACGAACATGCTGGCGGATTCGCAACGCCTTCTCCTTGCGTTGCGCCTGTTTGTTCGTGCGCGTCGTCCTGTTTTCCTTTGCACTGGTTCCAAAAGGTGGGAGAGTTTTGGCCCATGCAAGAAAGCCGAAGCCCGTGTGAGACTCGGCTCTCTTGCTGTGAGCCTTGTGGATGCCTTTGAGGCGATCGGCCATGAACTTGCAGAATAACTTGCGACAAAATGATGCCGGGATGCTGGGTCGATCCAACCATGTTCCCTAACGTCAAGCAGGTGGAAACGGTGTTGTTGAAAGGCTGATTGCATGGACGCATAATATATTGGACCCATGACCGTTTTAGTCCCTTTGCGACTGATTTCCCACAATTATGCCAAACACTAATTTGTGGTAAGCCAACCCAATGACTTGGGGTTCATACCCGGGGTTCATATACGGAGACATACATCAACCCTTTGAGGGGCGCTGGGACATGAACAGGTGCGGATGTCGCCTGCGCTTCCTGATGCAGGCCGGGAAGCTGGACTGACGTCAGCTGCCAATCAAGCTTTGGTGACCTCCCACCACGGAACCTTGGCCAAAATGCCCACTTCAGATTTATGACGCCCTCTGGATTGATCAGAGGTGGTTCCCCTTCTTGTGCAGCTTAGTGGGTTCCTGTGGATTCTCGAGGTTTTCATTGAACCACAATGTCTGGCAGGCAACCGGCTAGCAACCAATCAGACTATCAATCAATTGCTCGATGAAGGAAGCCAAACTTAGCTTTTTTGCCGGGGGGGGGGGATGGGGGCAACCAACCTAACGCAAGAAAGGGAGGCAGGGGGTTGATATGGCAGCAAGGACCCAATCAATCAATCAATCAATCAATCAATCAATCAATCAATCAATCAATCAATCAATCAATCAATCAATCAATCAATCAATCAATCAATCAATCAATCAATCAATCAATCAATCAATCAATCAATCAATCAATCAATCAATCAATCAATCAATCAATCAATCAATCAATCAATCAATCAATCAATCAATCAATCAATCAATCAATCAATCAATCAATCAATCAATCAATCAATCAAATCAGTCAAGCAAGCATTGAACCAACCAAGGAACCAATCAAACTGCTTGGCGCTCTGAACGCCCTGAGCACAACCCTGCCCGACATCTCTGTTGCCTCAGGACTCAGGACACAGGCCGTTTTGATGCTTCGACTTGTCCCAACCTCTCCGTCAGGATCTGTTTTCAGCGCCGGAGAGGTTGGCGCAGAGTCTTTTGGCACTTTGTGATGTGTCTAAGGGATGGATCCTCGAGGGCGATTTTCAGCAACCAACTTCTGAAGCCAAAAGGATCCGAGATGTGGAGGGGTCGATTTTTATGTCGCTCAAGACATGGTTGTTGTGGCTCAAGACATGGTTGTTGTGGCTCAAGACATGGTTGTCAGACGTATCTGAAGTACCCTTGCTTCTAGTCCCGTTTTGCCCCCATGCAAATTCCCATGCAAATTCACGTTCCTTTCCCAGGAAATTCCTCAACTTTTATGGCGGGTGTGGGTTCTGTTGGAGCTGACTGGTTGCAGGTCTCCGCATCACAGCGCTCCTGGAAGGACCATGCAAGTGGAGCACGTGGGCCAAAGCGAATGGGCCGAATTTGACGGATGTGTTTCTTGGAAATCCCTGGACACCATTTCTTGCCAACCACGACAATAAGAGATGTTGGTGTTTTTTGTTCGTTCCTTTGAAGAACATACGCAATGAACCAGTGGTTTCCGGACAAGTGAGGATGTGCCGATGCCTGACACGCTGCAAGTACATTTTACAATTTGATTCATTTGCGTGTTGGGGTAAAGGGGCGAGAATTTTTTGCTTTCCCCAAGGTTGTGCTTAGAGCCCGGATT